TATATATATATATATATATATATGTCTATATATATAGGCTCATATATATATAGAGAGAGAGAGAGAGAGAGAGAGAGAAGCTGAATGATTATTAGCCAATTAGATAATGACAAGTAATCAGTAGGCGACATATGCAGGTGGAACAAGACCTCATCCCTCAAGTAGATGTGGGTTGCATAGTTGCCACTAGATGGAGTAATAGCCCTGTCATGCATGGAAACGCACTGTAATACCCTTTGAATGTTTGTGGAGAACATCCATCAGTCGGCAGAATTTTTTGTCAAACAGAACCAAGTCTTTGCTTTAGACTACTTTTAATTCTTATGTCGCTGATTTGTAAACATACACAATTTGAAAAATTCCATCACAAATTAAAGTATAAAAAATGCGTTTCAAATATTTAGTGTACCCATAACAGCAGTATGTGCTGTAATGTAAACAAATAAACACTTAGCAATATATATTTGAGAAAATTTTGAAAAAGGTATGTAAACAATTTTCTAGCAGTCACTACAGATAAGTTAGTAAGTTTCGGTATGCAGAGTTTTTTCGGTGCTTACCAGCAGTTCCTGCGGTCTGATTGAATTATCAGTGTAGATGCACAGCTTCTCTGCAGTTAATGGACGCGTCTCTTTCAATTTAGACGCAAGAAACATGCACACTGTGCCAAGCAACTGCAAGTTGCATTTTCTTGTTGGTACCACAGCTAAAAATCGGTCCAAGTAGTTCATAGCCAGTGTTCTTCCTCGCATTTCTGTTCCTCGCAGACCTGGAAAGGGCAGGGCACAACTTAGTTCAAGAAGAAAAGATGCACGTGGCTCAACAAAATTAGTCTAATTTATGTAACTCACAATGACTATATATGCATTAAATAATTACGACGAGAAAACGATTTACGTAGTATTGTCCATCAGTTGCATAGATAACAGGTTGTAAAATCGTCACGGTAACATTAGAGATTGGCTCCAAAAAAAGTATAATGTCTGTTTTGTCGTTGTTATAAATGTATAAATTTAATGGATGAAAAGGGGACTCTAACATCTTTATCAATAGATTCACATTCCTTTGGTTCATTCAGTAAGAAATGAATTCAAGTCACAATCACCCGAGCCAAAAAACACCCATGCAACACACAGTACGGGATCTGTTTTTTTAATTCGTCATATTTTCATAAAATATTTAAAAATATAAATAAATTGTCTAGGTCTAATATTCACACCTCTAAATATTCACCAATCCTTTTCACATCATTCCCGACAATTGACAAGTTATCAAATCGATGTTTTATATGATTAAAACATGATTTTTTGAACGAAGTAGCATGCGGTCTTAGATGAGTGCGTCACCATCGGACCGAATTACTTTTTTCAAAAATTTGTATAAATTCTCCTGCTTGATTCACCTGACAATTTAAAACATGAAAATAAAGCTAAGGTCCTCCCCTAACGTTTTCAACACTCAAATATTAGAAATATGAAAGATTCTGACAAAAATCGAACTTAATTCCAAGGCTACAGACTTCGATCAGCATGGGTTAAGAAGTAGTGCGGGCCCTCGCCCCTTCCGCAACCACATATTTCAAAAATTTTTACTAAAATATAGAAAAGTAATTCCCAATATATTTAACCATTAATATATACCTTAAACGCTCATTTATTAAGTCATGCACATGTAAAGAGTTGTTATGATCATTTTGTTGCGATAAAGTTGTTGTGAAAGAAAAACCAACATGGCGATGGTGAGATGTAGCACAGCGGCGAGCATTGAAGTGCATACGTGTGCATGGAAATATTTATCCAAAAAATAAATAAATAACATTAAGCACGATTCTGTCCCCTGTGTTAACGGAACCGAACGCTTTAAGAAATATGCGCTTATGATCACTGACATATGTCGATATCTTCCATTCCCCTGCAAATCTAATCGTCAGCTTGGTCCAAAATCGCGCTTATGACTGCAATAAAATAAACAGCCCGACAAAATCGGATCTGCCATTTCGGAAATATTAAAGAAGCTCCTTTACTTGCATTCTACAATGCTTACATGACAGAATAAAGTAGAAAACACTTTGCTAGACGTTTTGAAGATACGGTGTAAGCACGGAAATGGTCGGATATGTACAAACCTCCAACATCCAAGTTGCCACCATCCTCCGCATAAAGGGCTGAATATCTTTCTGAACGCATTTAAAATATGAACACTGGGGAAGAAACCTCTCTTCGATGGTCAACAAGCTCTGTAGTACCCTGTCATCATATAGAAGATTCGGGTCAGGAAGGGCTCTTATAATGGTGTCCATCTCGAGACAAAGCAGTTCCATGATTGTTAGTCCTTTTCGATCTCAAATATGCATACAAACAGTCAAATATAATGGTTGCGAAATGTCAAAAAGAGCAGAAAGGACTTCTCAGGCACACAAAATCAGTCTACAGGGCTGTCCGGGTTAGTCCTGCTCCGTTTGAAAACTTTTCCCCACTAGTCTCTTTCTCTGCTCTGCTCCTCTCGCTGCAACATTTGAGGTCTGCAGATGTAGGCTAAGGCTGTGTGACGCAAGCCTCACAAAGCAGATCTTATTATTGGCCAGACGCAACATGCTCGGTCTTCCTCGCCTTTTCCACCCCTCTTGCCCTGGTTATCAATAGCCCGAACAAGATGGACAAGAATTACAATATTGGCTGATATATTTATGGATCATGCAAGACTGTTCATACTTAGTCAACGCACCTAGCCTATTAATGCGCATCTAGCCTATTTTAACGACGTTGGGTAAACACAAACATAAACACACTGCACCTAACGCAACACTCAATTTATAGCCTATATTTGATACCTCAAAGTGTTTTTAAAAAGTGGTTTTGTTTTTTATGATATTATTTCATATCAAATAATATGCATATCCTTGATGATCAATAGTTGTGCCAGGCTGACATTTGCTAAAATTAAACCAACAAATGGTCAAAAACCTTTATTTTTGGCTCTAAGTAGGCTACAATTAAACGCCACCGCGACATCACAAAGTCGAAACAGAGCTGTCTTACATGAAGCAGCAACGCCTGTGGTCAACGAGATAGCTTTCTAGGACATGCAGCGAAAGCATGAAGCAACGCTCTCTCGTCAGAGATAGAAGCTGAATGATAGTTCTTCTCGAGCTGCCCCAGTGTATTATATAAAGCATTATATCGTCTCTATTTAGCATCAAAAGCCAAGGCTCAAATGGAGATGTGAGCATTCCAAATTTGTGATCTGCCATGCAGGTGACGGCTTTCAACATGCATAACTCACAAACTCATTCAGAAAGTCATTTGAGTATAAAACGAGACAAAGCAGTTTACCATTTCGTATAATAGGGAAATCAGAATTAAATCATGTGTCTTCAAAGACCTTCTAGAGCATGTCTATAGTGAGTTATTGATCAAGGTGCATCTCCAGGTTCTCCAGCCTGTTACAGTGATTCTGAAGAACTCAACAGACCGCAGCTACTTTGCAACAGTTGCTTCGTTTCAACACTTCTAAATGTGATAGGAAATGTCTCTTTAAAACATTTTTTTCTCTCTCTCTGTAGATTGTTTCCTCCCCTCTTCGATTTGCACAGCCAATAGTTCTTCTGCGCGCGCCTGAGGCTTTCGGATTGTTACTGGGCAGACTTTGTCTGTGGAAGTTCACCTTCTAAAGTGCCAGCAAGAACCTAATCTATTTTGCTGATCACCTGATGAACGTTGCTACTTCTCAGAGTGTGCTGCACGCAGATGTCATAAATAAATGTATACAAATGTAGCAGAGCGATAGCAATATCTGCGACCCACAGAGTGATGCTTTGAGAAACTCTAATAGCCTATATTTTAATATCCGTATCCTATAATATAAAAATGATAGAGATCATCAAATGAATACAATTTATGCTAAAAGGGGGAAAAATGCAATCAAATTGTATAATATAAAAGTCACTATTTTCAAAGTTAGTCTGCTCATAAATCTATATTATAGTACTTAACCCTTATGAATCTAAATTAACAGAACATGCAAACATGATTTCTATTAGCGACAGCATGGAATTTAGGGATAATTAAGCAATTCCAATTACTCAAATGCTGAAACATGTAGTCATTTCATTTCCTTATTAAAACATGCGCGTTATTGATGTAAGCTGCAGTGTTACCCACACGCAGCCGACACGTGAAATGTCGGCAATGCAGGGCATCATGAGTGAGTTTCATACATCCAAATGCCGCCTTAATGGGCAAAACAATGGGTACTACGAGTCATAATAACATCAAGGATGCATCCTTTTTCATATAAAGCGTTCGTTTTCTGGCGCATTGAAACTTGTGGGTGGTTATCATTCAAATGTTATTTTTAAATCAAACAATAACTAATAAATTGCCCAAATATTCATTATTAGAACGTTTTTTTAACGTATCTGTTTAAACAAACGTCACATGAATGTTTTTATACGATTTTTTTCTTATTAGCATAAAATACACATTTATAAGATATTTAAACATCACTCTGTCGGCAATGTTTTGACTCCCATTCAGTGACGTAAGTCAACCCCTCATCTATAAATCAATGCTTGTAGTTTCCTTTGAGCTCATTTTAAGACATTCAAGAAGCCAAACATTTATATATATATATATATATTTTTTTTTTTTTTTTTTTTTTCAG